GATCACCATTCCCAGGACCTTGAGGAGGCGTTTTACTTAGCCTCACAGTCTCTAGAGTCAAATTGAATTTTCTGTAGTAGTGTCAAAATGGTCTATTAAAATCACTTCTATTACACTGAGTTCCCAAAGTCTTCACTACCTTGGCCAGGTCTTCACTACCTTTCCCATCAGATATCCTTTGTTTGTGGAACATCTTGAAATACATAAGCCAAGAGTAATCCATGCAAAGAAAGTGAAAATATCTTTTCATATTAAAGCTTCCAGCTTCCCAGATAAAACATTTTATCCGTAAGTAAAAGGTGTAAGAGTACGAAAAACAAGATAAATTGGCCAAGTGTGCTTTAAAATGTCCCATAGACTTACAAACCCTTCTGCCTTCAGCTGCTAATGGGAAGATAGAAGCCAGCCGTGTTCACATCAACCTCATGTTTAAAGTATGGTAGCACAGTAAGATCTCCAATGAGTCCCCAGAACCTAGCTTCAGCATCAACTGTGAACTTGTTAAAAAATGCAAATTCCTAGATCTCTGCTGGGGGTCATTCAAAGCGGGGCAGTAATCCTTCCAGATAATTCTGATGCCTGCTAGTTTGAGAACCAGGGATGTATGAGTTGGAAGTCTAGCTAGCCTTTGGAGTGAGAGTGACTCACTCCAAACACCAGGTTTGAATACCAGGATCTGCCCCTGGTAACTGGTGTGAGTTTGACCAAGGTATGTAACTTGTCTATGCTTTAATTTCCTCATCTGTAAAGTGAAGATAATAATAGTTACTAACTCAATGAAACGCTGGCAATAAGATAATACATATAAAAGTCTGGCAAAATGTTAAGACACATACTAAGCATTCAATAAATGTGAGCAAGTATTTTCTCTACTATGGCGATTATCACAGATTTGCTTTTATTCCAGTTTACTCATCTATTTATTTGATTAGCATTTATTGAGCATTTAGCACATCCTAGACTCGGGCACTCAATAACAGGATTCCTGGCTGCAGTACTTCTCATCCTGGCTGCCCATCAGAATCACCTAGGGAGTTCTGAAGAAATCCCACTGCCTGAGCCCTACTCCGTACCAAGACTCAAAGAATCTCTCAGAGTGGTGCCCAAGCTTGGATATGTTAAGCTATTCAGGATATTTTAATGGAAGAAGCAAACCAGCAAGCAAAAATTAAAACCCAAAGCCCAAGGAGCAAGGGCCGCACATATGCCCATGATCGCAGAGAAACATTTAGGAGGGCTCGTTTTTGCCCAGCAAGCTTTCATTGACACTTACATATTCCTCTCCTGCTTTACTGATCTGCTTAGGAAGCACAAATCATGTTTTTCTACATCTTCGGTGCTGGCTACCATGCCTGACAAAAAGTAGATGCAGAAGTTTATCAATGCAATGAGATGTGAGCTCTATTTCTAGGATTGGGCCCTCCTGCCTCCTGGAAGCCTGAGCAGTGTCTCAGGGCAGAAGAGTAATTATATAGCCATCATCTCCATAACAAACTCTGTAAGTGCACATTTCCCTAAATATATTGCCCAACCCTGAAGGCTAGACATAATGGTTTCACACACCAGTCTCCAAGGGGAGGAGCGACAGAGGCAAAGCTTTTAAATTAATTAAAAGAGACATTCAGGCACACTTCATGCCATTCTTTAATCTCCATTCGCCTGTGATAAATATCGAATGACAGGACCAGGACCGGGCTAACGAGCTGAAGGCGGGACCATGTGGAGACTCGCCAAGCAGCCCTCAGAAATGCTGCACCAGGGCCCAGGGCTCAGACAAAGGAAGGAGGAGGAAACAAACCACCTTGCCTCACTGATGTGTCACTAGGGTGTTCTGAAGAGTACCTACTGGACTACGATCCCACTCTACTTTGACTAGTAGCAAATTAAAGAATAAATAAAAAGGAAGTAGCATGTACTATAATTAAAAAGTCAAAGGAGAATAATTATTATGATTTATTGAGGGTTTTCTAGTGTCAGGCACTGTGCTAAAGGCTTCTCATATAATACGTGTGACCTATAGAAAATCCCAGAAGTTTATTGTCAGTGACTTCTGAAATTAGATCACAAAAGACATCATCACTGCAAAACAACCTCTTAAATCACTTGCTCTGGGGAAAGCCAGAGCCATGCCAAGTGGTCACTCAAGCAGCCCTGCGGTGATGCTCATGTGGAGAGGAGCCAGCCATGTGACCAGGCCGTCTTGGAAGTGGGTCCTCAAGCTCCAGTCGAGCCTTTGCATCTTCCAGCTAAAGCCCCAGATATCACCGCACAGAGAAGTCATCACCACTGGGCCCTGTCTGAATGCCTGTCCTATAGGACCCATGAGATTTGTTACGCAGCAATAGCAAACTCAAACATAAGAGCTAGATACTCTCATAGTTGATGGGTATGGTCAGTGAAGCCATGGGGATTTGAATCCAGGTGTGCAGATTTGAAGTTCTGGCTCTCATTTTGTCATACTACTCCTGACAGATAGATATAAAGTGTGTAAACTATTTCCCACCCCTTTTATCAAGGGAAAAAGTAATTGTTTAATAGAAAGCTTTGAAGCACTGTGGTTGTCCTCAGGATACTTTGTTCATCTTGCATGGCAGCCACCATCCTGCCTTGTGTTTTAGCCATGTCTCTAAGGATAGCTTAGACGTTCCTGGAAGGCTGGAGTAGTATCTTCTTTATGAGAGCCTTGTAAATAGCAGAAGGGCATGGACAGGATGCCACATTAATCCAGGGGACTGGCATCCGCCAGCCTGGTTTCACAGCTCTGCTCTACCACTTCCAGGCGAGGTGATCTTAGACAGATTAGCTAGATGTTACGAGCCTCAGATTCCTCACTCTTGCAAAAGGGCCAATATTAACGTACACACTTTTGTTTGTACTGCATTAGAAAAAAATGTATTTAGCACATTGCCTGGCACATAGTAAATGCTCGATAAATATTACCTATTTGAATTATTATCAAATATGTGTTGAAAAACATCCAACATTTTAAATGCCAAACAGAAACTCTTCCCTCAACCTTTCTTCATATAGAAAGAGAATTTCCAAAGAAAGCGCAGCGGTTCTCGAGAGTGAAGCGGTTTCGCTCTACAGGGACTGAAACCTTTGGAGACAGCTTGGCCATGCATGGTCCCTAGTAGAGCCCAGCCTGCCCTGCCAGAGTGACGAGAGGATCAGGGAAAGCTGCCCTTTACTTCCACCGTCCAGTGATACATGTGCAGACAGCAATTTGGCTCTTTCTTACAGGAAGAAAAGTAAGGCAAGGAGAGTCTCCCTCCCCCTGGCCTAATAACAGAGAGGACAGGGATTTTGCTTCCATCTTATCTCGTAATCCCATTACATTCTTATCATTTTGTCAGTGCAGACATGGCTCTTTAGCTCCTGCCAACACTCACTCTAAAGCCTTCCCCTGTGGTTCATTCTTTCTTGGTCTTAGAGCTAACAAGCTGTCAAGTGTCTTACTGTCCCCTCAGGTGATTTCTACTCAAATGCTGTTTAGAGTCCCACCTCCCTTTGATTTTAGCTTTATGGCTCCTATTTTATTTTTCCCTGTACATGAAAACAACTTTGTGTAAAATTCTGTTTAGGGTCCCAAATATTTCAACAACCTTTTACTTCTGGGTAAGATTAAGAAAAGGTAAACTGGGAGAAATGCCAGCCGCATTTGTGCATCTCCAAATAAACAAATTCCTAGCACCGCAAGGTGCTAGGTTAAATTCTAAGTTAGATGTGTGTGTGTGTGTGTGTATATGTGCGCGTGTGTGCGCGCGTGGACATAAATGACCCCTCTACTGTAATAGAGATTTTAAACAAAGTGCCGTGTGTGTGTGTGCGCGCGCGCGCGCGCGCGCGCGTCGGGGGGTGGACATAAGTGACCCCTCCACTGTAATAGAGATTTTAAACAAAGTGCTAAGTGAAGGATGCCATGAGTGACAGGGATAGAGGGCTCAGGAGAGCAGAGGAAGGAAAACAGCTGACAGATGAGGACATGGGAGAGCTGGAGCAGTCAGCCTCAGGTCGGGGCTCTGAAGGATGGAAGAATCCTGACCTGAGGAGGTAGAGAAGGGCAGAAAGAGCATTGCAGGCAGAAGGAAAGAAAGGCAAGGAGGCAGGAAAGCATGAGGCAGGTATGAAAAATGCTATGGATTTGTAAAGAAGCAGGGATAGGGACTGCAAAAAATAAAGTTACATTAGGGGGAAATATACTGCCAATAATTAGCAATAAAGATCTTCAAAAGAGAGGAAAAGAAAACTAAATGTCTTTTTGCAGATTATAGAGCAAACTGGTGACATATGGATTTCATGATTAAGAATAAATAAGATATTCTAATCAAATTCTCAGGGATCATGAACATAAAATCCTAAGACTACAGAAGTATATTTTCAGAGGAGGCAATGTCAAGTGAACTGGTAGGTTACTTTTTCCAACATATTAAAAGGACATTTCCCCTCACCGAAAGTTTTGCTTGAACCACTGAACTAGCTACAAGTCAAACACTTTACTACTAGTTTTTCCGAGTCCAGTTTTAAAAACTATTACCTAAAGTGAGAAGGTACGCATTAGATGACATGAGTCAGGAATCTGTTATTTACCAGCAGAGCCATTTCAATGATTTCCAAGAGCCAGTATCCATTAACCAGAATGGTTCAAGGTGGAGTAACTGTGTACCAGAGGTAATAAACACAACTATTGATAGGCCTAAGGGTGTCTACACATTAGCATACTTTTCTATCCTCTAGCTCAAACTTAGAAAGCTACTGTACAGAGCAGCTCTCAAACAAATTCTGTGAATTGGAATGTCCTTCACTTTCTCCTTACAACCACAGAGCTAAGTTCAAAAAAGATCCAGAAAAAAATCTTAGGCCATCGACCAATCTCAAATAGTGAGTTCTTGAGACAGAAAAAAGGCCCTGGGCACCATTCCTGTGTCCTTCCAGTCCTAACAGATGTTCCCTGCACAACACGAATCTGGATGACGCAGCTCCAGGCCAGGTGAGCTTACCATATACCACATGCTTGGCCACTTGGGATCGTTGAAGTAAGTAGAGTGGGCACGACTTAAGTCATAATCCCTCTTGGTTCGTTTTTTTACCACTTGCTGTTGGATCCATTCCACCTGACAAGAAGAAGGACATCTGGTGAGTGCTCAAGTTCCATCAGGGTTAGCACAACATAAATGACAGTCTGAAGCACTTCCCATCTTGAGTCAATTCTGTTTAAGTCAAAGGCTTCATTTTGGCAACCAGAATATCTGAGTCGAAGGGCTCAGAGATTCTTTAAAAACCTAGTTCCATTTTATTTTTAATGCAGGTAGGGCTTTTTTTGGGGGGGGGGGAGGTCTTTATGACAGATCATTCACATCTCTCAAAAATATGCTAGCCTTTTAACCTTTTCAGAAAGCATTCTTTACTCACAATTTGTTGCAAATTTAAAGTGTTACTTTTTTAAGGTAATTATTTCATCCTTACCTAATACTAAAGGTCAGCAAACTTTTTCTATAAAGGTCCAGGTAATAAATATTTTAGGCTTTGCAGGTCATATGATCTCCGTTGCAACTACTCATTCTGATACTGTAATGCCACAGGCAATATATAAGTGAGTGGAACTGACTATGTTCCCAATAAAACTTTATGTACGAAAACAGATAGCAGGCTGGATTTAGCTCTCATGACTCCTGCCTCATGCTATATATCAAAATTTTTAAGAGTTCCAGGATTACGCATCAAATTTAAAAACAATAGGATCGAATGCTCTAGGATCACAAATTTTCAAAAAAAAAAAAAAAATGGCTTTCTGTAACACAGTGTGGTAGAAAATGCACTATTTGGGGGAATCAGAAAACCAAAGCCCTGGATCTGTCTCTGGCAAAAAAAAAAAAAAGAAGTCACTTAATTTCCTGAGCCATGGGCTCTTTGCCAGCTCTCAGATTCAATTTAAACCCACCGCATTTGAGAAAGTCTTAATATCTAGCTGCAACTTTTGCTTAAACAAAGCAACTTGGAAATTTGAATTTAATATAGAATTATAATCTTAACCATAGGGGTAGGAATGGGGTTATTTTTAAAAACAGGTAATCATTACAGCAACATAAAAATAAGCATGTTCCAATTTGAATGGAGCATTTCAAATGAAGTATTAGCCCTGGTGGCATTCTACAATTTGTTCCTAAATTTTCCTTTGTTTAATTCTTTTGGCATAACTAATTTTAGTCACAGTACTAATGATTCACCATTTATCCCTACTCTCCACAAAGGAATTAAAAATTGAGAGGAGGGGACTTTGCAGTCCACTACTGTGATTCCTTATCAATCCATTCAGTAAAGATTTCAAAACCCCTCTTGTCTATTTGATTAAAGATTACTGGAGTAATTAGGATACTAAGGTACTGATTAGCAAGCTCAAAATGCATAGCTGTAAATAAGGTACTAAAGGCCAAAAGCCAAACTAATAAATTTCTGTGATTCTCATATTAGGAAATATATTCAACAGGAATATTGCTATGCAAGATGAATTTAAATAGTGAATTCCTAGTTACATCACTAATAAAGCGAACTTAATCACATGATCTCCTAAATATAAAATCCATTTATGGTAAGCATCACAGCTAAGTGTCACATTCGTGCTGGCTCTGATAGGTAATTTAAGCAAAATCAGTACAGAAAAAAAGCCAACAAATGAAAAATATTCTGAAAAATGAAAGTTTTTTTGATCCTGTTTTAATTAATCTAGACCAAGGGATTCTCTGGCACCAAATCATTCTCCACCGCATCCCCAACCCCAACACACATACACGTAGACAGTGGGTAAAAGGTATCAAATGTTATTTCTTTAAACTATGGGATAACAGTTGTCAGGGAAGCTAATAGGGACCTTGTTTTTTCTTTAAATCCAATATGCTGCTTTTTAGAAATCACACAGAACCTAACGTGGCATTAAAAATGTGTATAATTTTATTTTTTTTTTAATGAAGAGACTACTTTTTAAGTGACTTTCTAAAAATACAGGGGAAATCAATTTCCTTCTCAATCAAAGTGGTACAGCAAGCACGGCCATGCATATACTTTTCTATTTCAAGGAAACATTTTAATCTCTTCATTTCAAACAATCTTTCTAAGAAATGAGCTTCATTCACTCATTAATTTACTCATTAAGTGCCAATTCTATACCAGACACTGTGCTGGGAATATAAAGATTACCAAGAAATATTTAGCAAGTATTCCACAATTTTTCATAAAATGAAATCTCCATGACTGACATCTGATGCAGGCCCTATCACCGTGTTAATTAGACCACTTACGAAATTTTTGACTACGCAAATTACATTAGCAATCCTTATATTATTATCTATAAGTCTTATCCCAATAAAATTGAACCATTTCATATTTGCACACTTGGCAAAAGGAGGCTTCCCATCAGTTTAGACAGAACTTTTTTCAAACTATATTGGCAGTGGCTTTTTTTTTTTTTAACACAGCCTCCATAAATTCCAAACTGCCAACATATATGCATGCATAAACCAGAAAGTGTCAAATGTCCCCCAGTGTGGACTCAATATAGAGATTCCTAGAGATCAGGAAAAGTCTATACTGAGGTGAGGGTGGATAATAGTTTCTGCAATGACACTTCGCCCTATACATACATATACACACTACACACACACCCACACACATAGACAAATGGGATAAGCATGTGAGAAAACCAAGTGACAGCCATTTTCCTAGATGAACATAGGTACTAAAATAGAACAAAATATCTTACCAAACAGCTTCTCTTCTGTAATTTTACCAAAAAAAAAAAAAAAAAGCTTAGTTATAGGGCTTGGTGGCTAGAAGGTGGCATAGCAACTTGGCATCTAGATTTGACTCTAGGTCACTCTGTCTGATCACAGGGCTGCAATACTCAAGAAAAGTACAGTGGAGATTTTTTTAGAGTCTGATACCATGTATTTTGCCACGGTGCTTTATGAGTATGTATATATAGCCCTACAATTTTTGGAAAGC